TCATGTAGCACCTTACACACTGTGCTGCCAGAGGATGCCTCTGCCAGGCTTCCTTCAGTAAGGAGTCAGGTTCAACAACATGCCCTGTCCTCTCTGCCCAAGACCTTTATGAAATGTTCAAGGGTGTTCTGGCAAATATTTGATGCTGATCTGGCAAATATTTCACTCACAGGTAGATCCTATGCTCTGCTGCCTAAATCTGTAGGAGTGAYATGGGGCAGAGGGTGGCTACTCTGCCTAATACAGGTGTTAAAATATCAGCAGGGAGGATCTCCCTGCTTTAGGTCTTCAGAGATACCAAATATTTCCAAATATAGTCCCTGAAGTGATTCTCTGATCCCTTATTTTTTATGCTCTATTCATGAGGTGTCTCATACAAAGGAATTAGCTGTCCATCCAAGTTAAATAAACTGGATATCTCCCCTGCTCCCTCTGAATGGGATGAGTTGTGTGAGACGTCTCTGTGCAACTGAAGTTCTCATTAATTTGTTAAAAAAAAAAAAAAGAAAAAACATTGACTCTAGGGCAAATTTTTTCAGATGATGCCTCCCCATGTGATTCTGCAAAAGTCATTTACTCTGTAGATACCTTTGCACTGAAATCACCACTTGGTACACAGATCAGTAAGAGGTTTCATGTTTGAGTCACAAGAGTGGGGCTAGTTTTTGTTTTCAAACTATTACTTACAAATGGGATGCCTGCAAATATTCCAAATTTTTTTTAGCATAAAATGATTAGTCTGACTTATGCTTGCATTTTATTAAGATAATGATCTCTGAACTCACTTTTGTTCCTTCCAAAGACACTCTTATGGGAAAGAGATTCAAGGTGCCGCATATGTGCGATTTGGCATAATTGATGAAAATGAGAGCAAAATATTTATTCCAGGCCTGGAGCAACAGCTATCAGTAAGTATTCAGTTGAACAACTCTGATTTATCCCACCTAAGCTGAATATTTTCAGAAATTCTGGAAACTTAGAAGACATAATACTGTGGCTGTGATATAAGCAGCACTTCATTTCTWATGGCAACAAACCAGTAAGGGCTGTCTCTTTCCTTCTTTGTATTTTTTTCCCTACTTTTGTTTTAGATCCAAAATGGAAGAGGAAGAGTTTCTTTAAGTACAACACTTTTGGAAGAGAAATTGAGAAAGAATATTTCCAGTCTAGAAGGGTTTCATTTGTATGTTGCTGTTACCACTGTAGAAACAGCAAGTGAGTACAGTACGGCTTAGCTGATACAGTCTGTAAGATTCACACTGATCTTCTTTTGCTGTACTCTGTTCTGTGGGAAATCTCACCTCACTGGGTCCATCTTTGCTGCAAAGCTTRCTCATGCTGTAGGGCATGACCATCTCTTTCATCTGACCCCCTTCTGCACAAAGACTTCATCTCAAGCGGGCTTGATTTGTCTGAATCCAAATRTCCAATACCACTTTAAGTGTCCTGTGTTGTCCTGTGTGGTCTTCCAGGGCTGCTCCAGAAGTGCTGGGCTCGGCACTTATTATATGCATGACAGGGCAAGGAGGATGGGCTTTATGTCTCAACCTTGAAGTGTTAAAGTGTAAAATAAGGATGTTAAAATATATTTCTTAGTTCATTTAATTTCAAACAAGCCATGTAACTGATTTCTTTAGATGTGGGTATGAGTAGTGATGTAACTAGATATTAACTAGATTAATTATTGTTTTAAGTAGAAGAATCTTAGATGGAAAGCAGTTACTCAAGCTCCAAATTGCAGAAGATGACACTAGGTAACATTAACTCTTGCCAGTAGTTGAAAATGAAAACAAAATCTGTCAGAAAAATTAGATATCTAAGGTATGCAAGTCCATAGTTAGTGCTCCCACAGTAACACATGCTGTTTGATATTAACAGGTGGTGAGATGAGGGAAGAGGAACTCAGCAGTGTGAAGTTTGTGAGATCTCCTTATGCTGTTGATCTGTCTAACACCAAAAAGTATTTTGTGCCTGGAGCCCCCTTCTCTGTCAAGGTATGTAGTGTTGTGACTGTATCTGTCTGCCTCCACAGCAATGCCTTTGTATCTGCCCTCTATCCTTGTCTGATCTACTGGGAGCTCTATATGACAGAGACCTTCAAGATCAGGTCCAACACAGAGCTACATCTGTGTGTCTGGTTTGTCTCATTTCTGTATGCTCAGAGTCTTAACAGCTAGAAAATGCTGGTTTTCTGCTCTAGAAGTCAATGTGCAACTGTTGCCTTTATTAAAACATTGCAGTCTCTTCTTCACTTTGGTATCAAAATATTGAAATAAGAATATTGTATCAAATAAATCCCACATCAAATTCAAACTGAAAAGCATAACAGGGTTTTGTCTTTTTTTAAAAAATGGATTTATGTTTTTGTGGCTTGAAAGTTCACACCTTCAAGCTTGTCTAGGGTTTTCTATAAAGAATTAAAGTCAGAAATTTACCTTATGATAGCAAATGACAAATACCTCTGGGATGTGCTTAGACCAAATAGATGCTAACTGAAAATCTGGGGCATCTTGTAATCCATACTCACGGATTTTTACCTTAACTGAAGTCCAGACTGAGTCAGTCGCTATCCCCTTTCCTCAAAGCTCAAATTTTTGAATGCTGATGTGCACGGTTTTATATTTCTTTTCAGTTTATAAAAAAATATAAAATATAATTGCTTCTTGTTTGTGGAAATTTTTAAACACAGGATTTCCTTTAAATAACAGAATATTTTTTTTTTCCAATAGGCATCTGCCACGTGGGTTGATGGCACTCCTGCTGCCTTCCTGTTTGTCTCTGCCACTGTTACCTTGCCTGGAAAACCCCCAATGAGGAAGACTGCCTTCTGTGACACAGAGGGCCTGGTCTCAATCACATTTGATATCCCCAGAGATGCTCAAGTGCTTGAAATAAAGGTAAAGAAAATGCAAACACCCATGTTTAAAAGTATCCCACTGAGGATTGTTCATAAGACAATTTTAAGTGACTGTGAAGATGATCAGTTTTCATCAAATTAGCACAGAATATGGAACATGATTTCTTACACCACCTGCAGAGCTTTGTCCAGATTGTGTAAGATATGTTAGAGAGACSTGGGGCCTGTGGAAAGTCTCAAGTGAGAGATACTCTTGTAGATCAGAGCCTTGGGAATGCATGCATTAGTTATAGTGGTGCATTTTTTGTGTTGTGGATGTGCATTTACCTGGCATGAAGGACAGAAATGRGATTGTAAGGAATATCACCATGCAAAGTGATAGAAAATTATGSRAARAAAGTGAAGGAAAAGGTGCTGAGCAGTGCAAAGAGTAGGCTTTATCTGCCCACTCTGAAGGCACAAGAGTGCAAAAGATATAATGGGAATAAACTTGCCTGAATGCAAGTGATTTTGACCCATTGATTCTCATTTAGAAAGAGCCAAGAGTAACAAATACCAAATGTAAATGCAGCAAGAGGCAAAATGGGATGAGACAATGAAGTAATTAAAATCCTGAGGTTTGGCTCCAGTTTCTGCTAATGAGGTCTCAACAATGATTCCTCTCACTTCACAACATTTCCCAAACAACCTGGCACAATATGAATTATTGGTGCCACTATAAAACTGTCTCCTCTTGGACATTTTGCTCACTCTATCCTTTTCTTCACTGACAGGTAAAGGCTGAAGAGGGCAAAGAAAAGTTAGAATCACCTGAAGCCAGTATCAGAGCTGAAAGATACCAGTCTGCTTCCCCAAACTACCTCAGCATCAGCATCCCACACACCATYGTGGCACCTGGAGACACCTTACCCATCACCTTGAATGACATTCATCAGTCTGGCCATGGAAACTTTGGCTATTTCTATTACATGGTAAACAGAATCATATCATATCAGTAATTCCTTTTAGAAATTATACAACCCAGAACATTTACCTAGTTATTAATGCAAGGGAAAACCAAGGGAGTCCACAGCAAAGGACAAGTGGAAGTGATCAGTGTTATGGCACACCTGACCCACCAGGACAGGCTGAGGGAATTGGATTGTTCATTTTGGTGAAGAGCCTAAGAGTGAGTTCATAGCAACCTAAAACTTCTTGAAGAGGAATTGCAGACATAATGGAGACAAGATTTCCTAGGTGGTGCCACAATGTAACAAGGGACCAAGGTTAAAAATTACTGCCTGAAAGGTTTATTTTGGAAAAATCTATTCACTAATGATGAATGCAATATTGGAAGAGGTTCCCCAGAGATTTAAAGGGTTTTATAACCTTAGAAAAATCGAACATTCAAGAAGACAAAGCCACATCTCACCTAATCTTACACTGATGATGTCTCAGAGCAAGCAGCTGGAGCAGACATCTCCATAGGTCCCTTCCAGAAATTATTTCTATGATTCTGCTATTTTTTATACATTTGCACTTATTTCTGGAGCATATAAAATGCACAGTATTTATTTTGCTGAATGAGACAAATATGTTCATGGGTACATTCCAGGAGTGAATCTGTTGAGTGTGAAATATGTTTAATTCCCTTCTCCCTCTCTTTGTCTCAATTTTCCTTGGCAGTCTAAATTTCACAGGATGATAACCACCCCTATTTTTAATAGGACTCTGATATATTGGAATAATTGGGTCCCTAGGAGTTAAGTTTAGGTTTGGGGATCAATTTTCATAGGACGGCTTATCACAGGGCTAGAGTTAAACAGTGAAAGATGGGCTGAAATCAGTTAAAGATGAATCTGTGATACTTTATTCTAAAATCTCCTGCTCCAACCCTTCACACCATCTGAAAGATTCAGTACTGATTACARATTAAATAATGCTGATATCCTCCTGGGTATGATGAGCAGTCATTGTAGAAGACAAAATTTACACTACTATYTGGGTACCCCTTCTCAAGCAGTAAGATTGAGTGGAGGGTGACAGATCTGTGTTCAAACCTGAGCCACAAGACCAGCGTAGCAGAGCTTCACACCACAGTGTGCAGGTCTCCTCCAGGAAACTGGTATACAGCTTGGGAACTAAAACTGTTAATGCCATTAGAAGAGAATATATTTTAAATAGAAATTGCCTCCAGGGTGGGGATGGGGGATTAAAATTATGGAATATTTGCCCTTTCTGGGATATAGTCACAATATATGATTTCTGTTTGTTTCTGCCTTGCAGGTTGTGGCAAAGGGACAAGCTGAGCTTTTGGGAAGGGTCCCATCCTCAAACAAAGTAATAAACCTAAAAATCACCGAGAAGATGATGCCTGCCTTTCGCTTTATAGCCTACTACTTCATTGGAAATGAGGGCCGCCAAGAGATCGTCGCCGATTCCGTGTGGGTGGATGTCAGGGATGTCTGYGAAGGAAAGGTGCTTTCAAAGCTCGTGGCTTCTGTTATTGCTTCCAAAATGAAAACAAAAACATGAGGTACCAGCAGAGCAAGTACAGGCCTGGGATTAAAAAGGGAAAAAGACATGCCATTTTTCTTGAAAAGGAGTTGTCAGGATTCATGCCAAAAGGTATAGCTTGGAAAAACTCCCAGGTGGTGCCTAGAAAGAGATGAATAACACAGTTTCGTGCAGATCCCGTGAGTGTCTGTATGTTGGAAATCTACAAGGAAACATTGATRGAATTGTTGAGGGGGCAGAATCTCTTTTTGACTTTGTCTTTTTGTGATGATGTATGTCACATGGAAGAAAGTGAAGCCATTTATTGGAAAAAAATATGAATTTAAATTATTTTTTCAAGCTTTCTAATTTCTGTTGGAAGTAATTTTCTGAGATTTGGTAATATTTCAAAAGCATTTTTTTTAAATAATCTACATTAGAAAATGAAGTGTGGATAAAATAGGAGGCACTCTAAACCTTTCTTTCACCTTCCTCCTCCTCCTTTTTGGGACCACAAGGTAAAATGAAAAAAAAAAAAAAACCAAGACACAGGAATTTTTCTCAATAGCATGAAACATAACTGCTTAAAAGGGCCAGTTGTCTAAAATGATTTTTTCCACTTACAGTGTTTGTTTTAGAAAAAGAATGTAATAGTCCATTGGGAAAATAAGTTTTCAAGAAAAAAATTATCTGCCTTCAACATACAAACCAAATCTTCACTTATACAAGGACAAAATTCAGTTATGTTCATGGTCATTTCTATTCATAATTCCCTATTGTTTCATAATCACCATGGCTACTTCCTCCTAAACCACTGAAGTGTCTACATCAGAACCAGATCTGTGCTTACTCAATCATGCTAAAAAATTCAAATATGAGAAAAAGCAGGTAGTATTATTATAGACTGGCTTAAGCTGSTTAATTTTGTACATTAATTAGTCTTTTGCTGTATTTCATGGCAGTTTTGTTTCCACTGGAAAATAACAAAATTATGTTGAAGACCCCAGTTCTGCAAACCTCTTACACATACCTTTAATTCCCATTAATTCCTATTACATGCCATTCAAAGTCAGCATCCAATATTCTGCAGGACACATCTTTCAGTTCCCCAGGATTTCCTTCATTGTAAAATACCTGCACCTACGTGTTCCAAAATGCAGGATTGCAGACAGAAACTCCCCAAAACAGGAACCTCCACCAGGCTCTGACTGCCCACAGTCACAACTGACAGTATTCCTGGCCCAAAGAGTTTTCAATTTTTACTAATCAATATGGTATTTTTGTTTCAATCTTTCTTATTTAGATTAAAGTGGAAACWGACCAAGAGATTTATGAACCAACAGACCACATCAATTTACAGATTGAAATGGACCATGCGGGAAAAGTTGCCTTAGCTGTGGTTGATAAAGCAGTTTTTATTCTGAATAAGAAAAATAAGCTTACAGCCAAAAAAGTAAGATATTTGTARGAAGAAAATATCATATCTACTAGTCAAGCAAAATTTTCCAAGAYTAATGAGAGGATCAAAATCTAATTTATGGTTATTAATTGCTTAAGCATTGCTTTGTTAAACTCGGAAATGTTTTTCCTTTTGCAATTTAGGATCTCTTTGAGATGAAAGGCATAATTAAATTAATGGTATATTTAAGATGGGGATTTCCATTCCATGGCAGACAAGTTTGTAAATTTAAAAAAGCATTGCTTGAAAGCACTCCCTAACTAAAACCTCCCTCATCTTTAATCTGTTTCCAAATGCAGCTTGCACCACAAGTTTGTCTTGCTTTGGTGAATCAAAGGCCACAAGAGTTTTTCTGATATTTGTATAAACCCTTTGCAAGCATATACAGTCCATCTGTGCTATTTTATTTGGCAGGTATTTAATGCCATGAATTCATATGAYCTTGGATGTTCTGCGGGTGGTGGTGCAAACAGCATTCAAGTTTTTACTGATGTTGGTCTGGCTTTCATATCAGACACAATTCAATCCAGCATTCGGGAAGGTGAGTGTGATCTGCCCTTTAGAAGTTTGTGTAAGATCACTAGAGATCTGGTGAGGCTGATTGCTTAATAATCAGAAACATTTTTACTGCCATGTTGTAAAATCTYTCTTGCCTGGGTATTTTTCTTCTTCTGCTTTTCCACCGGCTGCTGGCAGCTCAGATATCCCAGGTGGTGGCTGCTGCTCCTTTGGTGACCATCTCAGCTGGGGCAGGCAGCACTTGCCTAGGGCTGGAAAATTTGTGGGTCTCTCAAATTGTGGGTCTGCTGTGAATAAGATATGTCATAATACAGGTCTTCATGAATGATGTGAATGATCAGGTTGTTCCTGTCATGTTATCATGACCAAGTACTTCTGTTCTGCCTTCGCAGGATATAAATGCCTTCAGRGTACCAGAAGGCAGAAGAGGTCTTTGAATTTTCAGAAAAAAATGGCAGGAATTGGTATGTCTGCTCATCTGGGTGGCCTGAAAATCTTAGCAGGGGGGGAGGCAAAGGGATCTGACTGGGATCTAGGGGGCAAGAAGTGATGGAATAGTAAAGGATGCCAAGATACTTTTATGTGTCTTACATGCATTAGATGACATAGCCTAGCACGAATGTATGTGCTATGCTGTGTGACCTGATGCATCATTCATCAGAACAGCTCAAAAATTATCCAAACTAAAAAAAAACAAAGAATGTTTGCAAACAGAAACTAATTCACCACTTTATAATTCCAAATGTGAAGCATTTCTACTAGATAACAAGTCATGTCATCAGTCATGACTTTGAGGCTTTTCAAAATTACTTGTATGGTCAGAAGATGTTTTATAAATCCTATTTTTTTTATCGGCATTCTGCTTTGAAGCTATGCCGACTTTGGTACTTTATGTTTCMATTAAGAGAAGAGTTAGTATAGCAYTTGGTATAAATSAAGGAAAAAGAAGTTTGCRCAAATTGACATTTCCTTGYCAGAAGACAKGAAGGCTTGGAGCTGGATTCTTCCTTGCATTTTAAATCAGGCTGTTTGTTCCAGAAAGAGAACACTGATCTGGCTGTTTCTATTAAGATATCTAATTCCAGCATGCCAAGGAAGCATTTTTAACTCACATTTTGGCTGTGCAGAGGAAGCATAGAGTACCTGGGATGCCATAGAGCCTGTGCTTTCCTCCTGTGTTTGTGGACTGTTTTTAGGATGGAGAGCAGGTCCTGGGCTGAAGCTTGAACATTGCAATAGAAACTGATGTTAATGGCAAAGAGTGACAGCAGTGAGCACRATGAGCACTTTAACACTTATTGCTGCTCTCACAGCACTGATTCTGGGCTTCAATTCTATTGCAGCCAGCAGATACCAAAGCACTGATCTTCAGAAATGCTGCCAGGATGGAATGAAATTAAATCCCATGAGGTTTTCTTGTGCGAAGAGGCTGGCAAAAGTGTCTGGCTCCCGCGAATGCAGGAGGGCATTCCAGGACTGTTGTGAGAAAGCCGCAGCCCTCAGGAAGCAGGCGAAGCAGAGCAACAGAGTGGGCTTGGCACGACGTAAAGATGAAACACACACAAAGCATATAACACCACTGTTTTTACCCTTCTTGTGGTGCCAGGGGAGGGGCAAGGGGTTTTTTAGTGCTGTGGGGCTGAGGAGGAAGTTTTCACATCAGCGTTTCAGAGATCCCCAGTCCAGTGCAACAGCCACGCAGCTTTGCATCTTCACATCTGTACAMTGGGATGGTGGGAGTGGGATAGGATAACTTCTTGGGGTGAGAAAAGGCAGGAATCACTTAACCACCACTGAATAGACTCAGAATAGACTGACTGAGGAGTTRTTTGCCCCTGCCTGCACCCCAGAGAGGCCACAGAGAGCAGAGCAGGAAAGGGAGTGGTTTTCTGCATTTATAGGCTCTAAGTGGTCTCAGATTCATGACTATTTTATTAGTGATACTACTATTATAACACCTGAGTACCTCCAAAATGCAATGACTGAGAAGGGGACACTTTAGATACAAATAATTTTGTCTCTCTCTTCCTTTCTTCTCCCCAAAATCTATCTCTGGCTACAAGCGTTACATGTTACTTCA